GTAATGAAGAAAAACTTTAATATAAGTTTTTCTTAACAGCAAATGTACAACGTTTCGACAAGGTTTGTACCTGATGATGACGAAAAGTTGTACATTTGCTGTTAAGAAAAACTTATATTAAAGTTTTTCTTCATTACCCATTCAAGCCGTCTCCAACCATTATTAGTCTCAAAGTGGATTCCTCGTCATCGAATTCCTTAATGCAGCGTTTCCCAAACGTTTTTGGCCACGGAACACTTTACAGCTGAGAAAAAGCGTGAAATATTGGTGTTGACTGTAGAAGGTATGTTGCGCGTGCAGCGCTCTCTAGATTTGTAAATTATTCATTTATTTAATCAAATTACAGATTAATGAATTTTTACATTTTTATGCTTATAATATATTTTAGGTACAAACCTCTCCACTAAGATATTATGTAGAATAGATATGACATCTTCTATAATTCTTCTTAAAGTTCAATGCGAAATCGATATTATCTAATTCTAATACATAGGAAAATATTTCATAATAGGTTATGATCGTACAAAAAGTGTTCACTATTTTATTAAAATTTAAAATCACGATTTTCTTACGGAGCACCTATCAATCACGGACGGAACATAGTTTGGGAAACGCTGCCTTAGTGGAACGTATCTTCTGCTGTAGACTACAGTTCCATCAGCACAGCGTAGGTCAGTAAATAAAAGTAAGTAAGAGATGCATTTCATTCCACTCCAAAACTGGCGGGCTACTAGAGGGGTACACCCTGTCTTCAGCCAGAGGATGTGTCTGATAAATAGGAGAAAAAAGATAGGTGAGTAAGAGAGAGAAACTAAAATTGTTGAATGTTGGGTAAAAAGGCGAGAAAGTGTATGGAGGAATGTCGCAGTTGGCATGAAACAAGAGAGATAAATAAGGGTCAGAACCATATGAATGACAATAGCATCAAAAGTGTATATGGAAGTATATCACCGCAGTTGAGATGGGAGAACATGGAGTCAGGTTCCCATTAATGATGCTGGTCTGGAGTCGGCGAATCAGGAGAGTAGATATAATGTGGTAGGTCGAACGGCGGAATGTCAACATATTCGGAATCATCAGGAGGAAGGGATAGTGCATATAAGTTCAAGAGATGTTCCAGCGGAGATGTGACAGAGCATGATGGAGAGGGTTCTCAAGTGCAGCAGCAAAGATAACATTTTGAGTACAAAAGCAATGCTGGACATAACGAACAAGAAATGGAGAAAAGGTAATACGAGTAGGACTAGGTAACTTCACGTGAAGGGCCAAACGTAAATCATGACTTTCTAACACTTGTAGACGGTCATAAAAGGAGGAAGAATCAGAAACTCAGGCAGTATGGCCATGGGTAAGACAAGGTCGTTTGAAGGTTTTGTACATGTAAAGAAGAAGTGGAGGGTTTAAGCCCCAGGAGGTACCTGTCAGGCAACGAAGAAGCTGCAACCGGGAATTAAATTCACTACGAAGAAAGTTGAAATGAGCATTCCAAGTGAGATGTTTGTCAAAAGAGACCCCCCAGGTATTTCACAGTATCGAAAGTTTGTATGGGATATTCTCAACACGGACATTAAAAAAGAGACGGGTAAAGACATGGACGAAATTTATGACATGTAAACAAAATATATGCAGTTAGGTCTCTTATAACGGGGATGTCTACATAAAATATTTGGTGTGTTTGAGTCCTTAAGTTAGCTTATGTCTGTGAATCATGTTAGAACATTGCGGCTAATTTATTATTCGATATTATACAGTAGACCAGTTTACAGAAAACTTTAACATAAACATTAGATATCTAGCTTTGATGTACTCTTCTCACACAGCTATTCAGCGTTTTTTCATTTGAAAGAATAACGTGATCATCAGGACTAAGAAATACATTCGCAAGGGTTGATGAGATTGCTGTGTTAATACAACAGTTAGTAGTGTCGTGCAGGAGCTGGTGAGATCACTGTGTTAATACAACAGTTAGGAGTGTCATGCAGAGGTTAGTGAGATCGCTGTGTTAATACAACAGTTAGAAGTGCCATGCAGGAGTTGATGATAACGCTGTGTTAATACAAAAATTATTAGTGTCATCCAAGGGTTGATGAGGTCGCTGTGTTCATACAACAATTAGTAGTGTCATGCAAGGGTTCATTAGTTCGCTGTCCTAACACAATAATTAACAGTGTCACGTATTCCATACACTATTCTTTGGTGGGGCCATGTACCCTAGAACAATTAATTTAATTAATTGAGAGGGAAATGCTACTTTACCCCCGTTAACTCGGCAGTTATGGATTAAGACCATTTACGCACTCTAGACTCCTTAACCATGAGAAAAGGAACACCTCCAATATCCATTTTGCCACCTGTTCCTCATTATCATAGTAATAAGCACTACTCTCATTGAGTGCCACTTGGTTTTCCTTCTCCCCCCAGCCTGGCATAGCCTGGTGGTTAGGGCGCTCTACTCGCAATCTGCGGGTCGTGGGTTCGAATCCCTGTTCCTCCAAACATGTTCACCCTTTCAGCCCTGGGGGCGTTATAATGTGACGGTCAATCCCACTATTCATTGGTAAACAAGTATCCCAAGAGTTTGCAGTGGGTGGTGATGACTAGCTGCCTTCCCTCTAGTATTTCATTGTTAAGTTAGGGACGGCTAGAGCAGATAGCCTTCGTGTAGCCTTGCGGGAAATTCAAAGCAAACAAACAAACCCTCCTGACTGTTCAGCGGTAAGTCTGAGGGCTAAAAATCGGGTTCTGATAACGGGAGCGAGAAGAGCACAAATAGTCCATTGATTGAATAACCTTGTGCTTAATAAACACACAAATCATTTTTAAAAATTGTTACTCTGCATAATGTTATAAATAACACAATTAAACATAAAGTAAGCATATTATTGCCACACGAAATCATACGCAAGTTATACAAATTTTTTGATATGTTTCAGTTAATTTTACTATGTCCCCTGTGGGTCAGTGGTAAATTTGTGGACTGCTAAAATTAATTAATTAAATTAATGCTGAATTCCAGGGTTCGATTCCTCGCGGCGGATAGAAGCGCAGCTAACTTAATGTATAGCTTTGCACTAAAAAACAATAAACAAAAATAATGTTTTACTATTTAAATATGTTTCATAATAAGTAAAGAACAAATAAACAATAAGGTCCCTAATATTGTGCTACTGTCCAGAGTGAGAGAGTACAGAGGAACCCAAAGCTGCACCCATTGCCACATGAAGTGAATAATTAGATTGATTGTCACTCTTACAACACTTACAGTTGAAAGTGCGGAGCGTGTTCTGCGGTATCGTCGGGCGAACCTTGTGTCTGCTGATCAGTAGCCTGCCACGCAAAACACTAGGTCACAGTCGGCCCCAGGAGAAATAGGGCTCTAGAACACGTATAGAAGAAATGTATTTCCTGACAGCAAGTTCTATGCAGATAACCCACAAAGCTAAATGAGAATGAAATAGCTCATTTCAAAGATATTTATTCTATCTCGAATGCCCCCCCCCCCCACTGGTAAAACGGTATGTCTGCGGACTTAAAATGCTAGAAATCGGGTTTTGATACCCATGGTGGGCAGAGCACATATAGCCCATAGTGTAGCTTTGTGCTTAATTACAAACAAACAAATTATCTTGAGAATTACTGCTACCACCGTTCAGTACATAGTTAAACAAGAGGGAATCCTCAATAGCCGCGGCTGTACTTAGACCTCAAATCGGTTAAGAGATGGAGCTATGAGCTAAAAGTTACTACTTGAAAAACTCAGAGCCATTCTATGAGCCGCTATGCCGCACACATTACATTTAAGATACTCCAGAAGTCGATTATTTTTTAACTTTCTTTATATATATATATATGTGTGTGTGTGTGTGTCGTATATAACAGCCTAGTATAATTAATACTTTCGTTTTGAGTTTACTTACAAATTGTAAGTATTATTTTATTACAAGTTACAGCTTTTACATTAAGGAAGAATATTTAAAAAACAGGTTTCGATGTTTCGATCACTGGTACGATCATTTACAAATACACAAGTTACTTGTGATAAAATAATAACCTAGTGTAATATCTGAAGACAACAACAATTGTATCATTGGGTATATTATGAATTTATATATTGATCTACTTTTATAGCCTCAAAACCACAAACAAAGGCTCGTGATAAGAATTCAACATTGAAAAAGTCACGAAGGAAAAACAAGATTATTCAAAGACAGCTATTATTTATTATCTATTATATAGAATCTGATGACAATGGTATCATTACTATTTACACAATTCACGTGATAGAAAAAACAACACTGAATATTATGGTCATACCCTCAGCATTGTTGCATTGTCTGCTATATCTGCTAGATACGTTACTAACCTGCCTACATCGGATGATACACGTTCCTTTGTTTTAAAGTACTGGTATTTTAAGAACAATGTTTTGTTTACAACGCTGGGCAATTAGCTCCAACATATTGTTACGTATCTGCTTGTTTGATAATTTCCGGTAAAAATTCTTTCCGAGTGACTTCAGCGATACA